CACACGTTAGTATAGCTTTCTCCAATTATCTGAGCTGGCACAGATGGCCTATTCATCCCCCGAGACGGGTAATTGAAGACAAGCTAACGGAGCAGAGCTAGATTGAAGACTGCCGAACATTAAGCAGACGTCGATGTATTCAAAGCTACTCAGAAATTAGAATAAAATTTCATGCTTTGAGAAGAATGTCATCGGGTTTGTTAACCCGGAGCACCTGTTCAACTGGTCTTCGAGGTTCTTTTATGTTGATGCTGGGCTTGTCCCGTACTCTTTTTGAAACACTTATAAATCCTTCAAAGTCCGTTTGGTCAGATCCTGGGTTTGCTCTAATTTCAAAGAACTTTTTATTGTACTTCATCTGATTCATGTTTTCCCACAAAGTGGTGTCAAAGTTTTTAGTCCTAAATATTGATTTTGTGAGTTCTATTTGAATCTTCAGGTTAGAAGAACAGAATTCGGAATACCGCGAAAAACTGCTGAAAACGATTCGAGAACGTGACTTGAATGAGGAGCTTCTGCGCAACCTACGTGACGCACAAAAGAAAGAGACGTCTGAATTCGAAAAACGTATACGGGACTATGAAATACAGTTAAAGGCTGTACAGGTACGAGCTTTTTATGCATTTCATTATATTTATACGTCTTTGTTTGCGGAATTTTCTTTCTGTGTTGTCTAGGACTGATTGACTAGCATTTAGCATTCCTATTTATGTTTTTTTTTCCAAAACTGCTACTCATTTTTGTTTTCGCGTCGTCTATTTACTTTTGGCTCCACTATCTATCGAAAAAAAAAACGATTATTTGCATCTACAAATAAAGCTCTCTCCTTCTTAACTCGTTTGGTACCCCTATGAAGTTTACGACCTTCTGACTCAGGGTCTTTTTTGATGATGTGATAAACGTCCTATGAGAGTGGACCATGTGCGGTTGAGTAACGGTCGACAATTTTATATGACACTTACCTTTTTTAGCCTTGCTTTTGCTCAAATAGCTGGTTTGCTTTTTTTTTGCTCAAATGACAAGTCACACAAGTCTTCGAATGGAGAACAAACAAATACTACATTTTTTGTTCTTAACTGATTGCTTCCCTTCGCCGGTTTATTTTTAAAGCGGCATTCATCATTTTTGTTCAAATCGTTATTGAAGGAGCGAGCTGCTGCCCAGGAAGCTCACTACAGTGTGACTATGAAAGATCTTTCGTTAAAGTACAACACTTCAGTTAGCCAGGTAAGCTTCCACCTGCTTCTCCTTTTTTCTAGAAGAAAATTAGATATTTTCAGTTGACTAAGAAAGCAGATATCGCTGAGAAAGAGAAAAACGATGCGGTAATAAAGTATGCTACGAGAGAGGCGGAGATAATGCGGATACGAAATGAGATACAGAAAAAAGAACAGGAACTCGTTGAGTGTCAAAAAGCTAAGGAAGAGCTACAACACTGCCAAAGCCAGGAGAACATTGAGCAATTGGTCAGTGAGAATTCTCTGGAGTTGTATTGTTTATTCTGGGTGTGTACTGTAGTATTTGAAAAATCTGAATCTTGTTTAGGAGAAAGCAAACAACAGTCTACGGGTAGAACTTGAACAGGCTAAGCACGAGAAATTTGATTTGGAAAACAAATTGAAAATGTCAGAGAAAAGAGCAGAGGTATGAAGTTTTGATAATATGTTTCCTTGCTTTTCTATCATTCCAATCGTTTAATTTTTTTTCGTCATCGTTACTCGCCTTTTTCTTCCCCATTTTCTGCGAAACCCCCCGTATCCATAACATCCTAGCCGCTGTTCTTTCCCCACCTTACGTGTCAGAAGGCCCATGGGCTCGATGTTCCGCATCTTCTTGTATGATCCCTAGGGTTGAACCCTGCCAAAGCTAACCAAACCTATCTGTCTTTTCGGGGCGGTCCACTGATGCTGGTTTCAGGGAGGCACCAGGCAATTTTGTCTTTTCGCGCTGCTGTATTACCTGCTCCTAATTTTTAATATTTTCGTACTTTTTTGTATTCTCATTTCCCTTTTGACACGTGCCCATCCACCTACTGTACCCTGATTATGTTTTAGGCCTGCAATACCACATCAGTTGAGCTAAAGCAACACAACGATGTGCTTCGGAAGCAGCTCATACAAATGAAGGAGGAAAAGAGACAACTCCAAGAGAGAATCCCCGCTGTCGTTGAAGACACAGGTCCGTTCAAGATAAATACGCCCGGCACTAAAAGCTCCTTTTAACACATTGCGTACCGCGTGCGCCACATGGTGGCGCACGACATTCCTGCTCCGTGTGGCCGCGTGCGCCACATGGTGGCGCACGATCTTTTCTTCACAACGGTTGACGTTTATTATTTCGTGTTTGTGCAGATATACGATTTATCACTAAGAGGACAACATATTCGAGTGGGACGTCTCTAGATAATTAATCAGTATTTGTACATGATATTCAAATTAATGCCTAATTTGGAAACGGATTTTGCTTGAATAAAAGGCATTCTTTCAAGCAATTTCACAATCTAGACGTAATGCAAATGAATTGGAATAATGTGTTGCATCCAAAATCACCAAAAGAAGGTGATGCGCAGCAGAATATCAGCGTTAAGGCGTCATGAGCGCTTTTTCCACCTCACATGTCTTTCGGCGGTATATTTTCGACGCCTCATACTACTAGGCACTCAGAAATACCTATACTCAGAATCATACTCACGATTGCCCTACCCTGGTATCAAATTAGGCGGTAAATGTACGGCAAACTATGGAGTTAACCTACCCACTTCCTGCGATGGTCCGGTGAAGGGTGAAATGCGTCTACAAATATTCTGCAAATCTTAATGATCGTCGCTGCTGTTCAATAAAGATGCTTAAGCAGATTGTGGGGTAATGGAACAAACTTGTTTGCCGTCGCTAGTTTGCACCAGAAAATGGTCAAAGCAGATTTTTGGGTCCATCACTATTGCTGTGGTGTAACTATTCGTTAACTACTAGGAATGTTTATAACAAGCCGAATAGGCAAAAATATGATGCAGTATCATAAAATTGTAACCTAATCTGATTGTAAGAATACAAAAGTGAGAAAGTACCCCTACAAAAGGAATTTCGAAATATGTCTGCCCCGTATGGCCGCATGCGCCACCATGTGGCGCACGATGCGCAATGCACGAGCGGCCATGCGAGCTCGCCAGCGCAAAAACGGCTTGGTACGCAATGTGTTAATTTGATTCCCACGGTTGATCGGCAGATCTCCAATTTTTGGTGTTGTTGTCTCAGCGATCCGTGGAAAATTATAAAAATTCGCAACTCAAGGTTGGACGAGGTCTTACCATGGCATTGTCCTTCGTAGTATGCGCACAGTTGATCTACTTTTTACCTGTAACTGCCATTAAACATTGAACGGGCACGTTAGGAGTACAAAAAAGAAGTAGACCAAATTCGTAGGGTATTTTTTGGTAGCGAGCAGATAGCAGTAAAATGAAGGTCATAGACCGTTAAGGTTGTTCATGATTCCAAAGTTTAGATCTTAGAATCGCGCCGAATGCACGAGTCAGAAGAGTTGAGCCGTTCACAGCAAGACATGGAACGTCGACTAACTGAAGCCAATGCTCAGTGTGCTCATCTCAGTGATGCAAATCGCGAGGCTAACGCAAGGCTTGAAGAAGTGACGCGGTAGGTTATGTTTTCATTTTCTGTGAACTTTCTACTTTGACCATTTCAGTTTTTTTTTGAAATTTTTTTTTGGAATTTACTCGGCTAAGACTTGGTTTTCAACTTGTTCCTATTCGAAATTTTTCTCTTTCAGTGAGAATCTCGACCTTATGAACAAACTGCAAGACCTCGAAGATAAGTTATCACTGGAAGAAGAGGCTCATGCGGCAGCATCGATTGAGATTGCGAGGTTACAGGGTATTGAAAAACAAGTTCTAAGGTGGGTGTAGTTCTGTAGGGTAAATATGTCGCATGGCAAAAACGGCCTGCCTATGGTGATGGTTGATTGTTACCGGTCACTACTGACAGTAGCCTTGCAACTACGGCAGGCATTTCCTTACTTCACTGGGTCTTGACTATTTTTACTAGTCGCCTTCTTTTCTTCTTTCCAAAAATCATTTCTTTTTGAGCTATGAAAACAGCTTCAAATAATTTCAGCAGTCAAAAACAGGCGCAACGAGCGAAAGATGCTCAAGAGCTGGCAGAAAAAGACCGAGAGGTTTGTATCTGTTTCACTAGTTCCGCATTTATTTTGCTATTTTGACGGAAAATGTTTACAGCGATGACTTTATAGGTTGCTGAAAAGGAAGCTGAAGAATGCCGTCAGCAAGCTGAAAGAATGCTAGCGATCACCGAGCAACTCACGGAACGAAACAGTCAGCTAGCCGGAGATGTGGCTGCTGAGAGAGAGAAGGTAAAACAACATGAACTTATCATCTCCTAATTTTACTGCGGTACATCCCACGGTTGATCGGCAGCTTGCCTTTTTTGGTGATTTGTCTTTGCGATTCGTGGGAAATTATGAGAAATTGCAGCTCAAGGTTGGACAAGGTCTTGTCATGGCATTGTCCTTCGTAGTATGCACACAATTCACTAAGTTTTGTCATGCTCTGAACAATTATGATAAAAAATGTTGCTTCTACTAAGGGAACAACAGATTTTTAAAATTTTTGATTAGTACAGAACCTAATCGCCACTATTGCTACAGAACTG